TGGGTGTGCTGAAAGAAATTTTAAAGCTGGAGGAATGGCGTGGTCACATTCGTGGCCTGAGTCATCATTCCATCCAGGTGTGGAGGTTAGATCTGAGAGGCTCTGTGGGAGGATTGATTGGAAGGCTACGGGGTCACAGAGGAGGTGACTTAGGAGGTCCTCAGAGGTTGGAGTCAGTGCCCTGTGGTGCTGTGCTAGGCTGTGGGATGTGAGTAGCTGATGAGAGGATCACAGGCCAGCTCCTGGTTTGGACAGCTAGAGAATGTCACTGGCCTTCATAAATGGTGCAGGGCCTCACTGAGGAGGGCAGCTTTGTGGGAGGCGGGCAACGCCAGTCTGAAGTCGCTAGCTGTGCTATGCAAGTTCTTCCCCTGAGCCTTCTCTAGGGGCAGCTGTGGACTCAGAGGCTAGTCCGGGATAGAGAGATGTTTATGGGACTGTCAGAGTGTCAGCTGATGGGGCAGGGAGAGAATGAGGTTATTCAGGGACATATCTTGGTGAAGGACTGATGGGGTGTGACATGTCCCCTGGACCCTCAGGGAGACTCCATCTTTCACTTGCTCTCAGTCAGTACCATTCTCCCACCCTCAAAGGTATTCCTTACAAGGGACCTGCGCTAGGCAGGGTTGGGGAGGTTAGGAAGTGAAAGGCAAAAGCCTCCTGAACCACACACAATGGACCGCTGGCCTGACACTCTCTGAGAACCCGAGCAGGTCTCCATGGCTCCCTGTCTTCTTCCTTGGGTAGCTTCCTGCAGAGCTGTGAGTCCCTTGGTGTGGGACTGTCTTTGTTGTTTTTCTCCATGCCCTGTGTGTGTGTGTGTGTGTGTGTCTATGTGTGTCTGTGTGGTTGGGGCTCAGAGGACCACTCATTGGCTTGGCTTCCTCCAAAAGGCTCGCCTGAAACGCCATACTTCACCCATCACACACCACCTGTCTACAAAGCACTGGTAACATATTTATTAAGGAGGTTGAGGTACTCTATTGACAAATACAAAATCCCCGCCAGCCATCCAGTCCCTGGAGGCTCAGGATCTAGGGACTCAAGGGTGTTTCCCATCTTCCACTAGCCCTTGGATGAACTTCCGGGGTCCCCACAGCTGCATTCCCCACCTGACCTGCTGCGGGAGACGACACTCCCTTTGCCCGTTTTCGCGGGTGGCTTCAGTGAACCCTACCTGCAGGTCATGGGTACACACCTGCGTCCACGGCGGCCATCCCGGCCTTTGTTAGGACGGCGCTCTCATCTTGAGGGTGACCTCCTTGGGAGATCACGTATGGCGGGCATGTATCGGGTAGGTGCTGCTTCCTAGAAGCTTTCCGGCGCCGGGGACGGAAGACCTCCATGCACCTCTTGCCCACCAGGTAGGTGACCTCGCTAAGGTTGAGCAGGATGCAGATGGCCGCTGTGACTACCATGAAGTAGGTGAAGACCTTCTTCTCCGTGGGCCGGGAGATGTAACAGTTCACGGTGTGGGGGCAGGGCTCCACAGAGCAAGCTACCACTCGGGGCATGTCATAGCCCTGGTAGATGCGGTGGAAAATGTAGAGGAAACCCGAGTCCACCGTGGCCTTGAAGATGAGACTCAGCAGGTACGTCCACCACAGGCCTCCTCTCTTCTTGCTCAGGTTGCTGTACAGGGCTGGGGCGTTGGGCCCATGTTTGCGGCGGTGTTTCCTCTCGCGTTCTTCGCGGTAGGCGACGTGCATGACCACGAGCAGGGAGGGGCACGTGACCAGGATGAGCTGCAGGGCCCAGAGGCGCACGTGGGACACGGGGAAGAACTCGTCGTAGCAGACGTTGGGGCAGCCTGGCTGCTTGGTGTTGCAGATGAAATCCTTTTGTTCGTCATCCCACACTTCCTCCGCGGCCACCACGTACACCAGCACCCGGAAGATGAAGACCACCGACAGCCAGATGCGGCCCAGTGCCGTGGAGTACTTGTTCACGCCGCTCAGGATTCCCTGCAGAAACGCCCAGTTCATGCTGGCTGCGTCCTGGGTGCCTCACGCTGGACGTCTGTGCGCTTGTGTGTTGACCTCTCAGGCGCCGGGGGTGGGGTCGCGAGGCCTGGGAGAACGTGCGAACGGGTGTCCTTATAGGTGATGTTAAGGACGAAGCTGTTTCACAACAACCACTGGGCCATTGTGTCCTCACTCACGGTGACTCAGAGAAGGATGGCCACAGTCCCCATTCCACAGGAAAAGTGTGGTAAGGCTGAGAGGTGAGAGGTCCCTGCAGCTCTCACAGCAGCAAGTAAGTAGCACAGATGATCTTGGACCCTGGTCTTCAGATTCCAAAACTCAGGGTCTCTTTCCTTCTACAAAGTAATAAGCACATGGAAGATAATCATCGTGCATGCACATGCCAGCTGGCCCCCATCCTCCCACGTCTCAACCACGGTGTCCAGAGACTTGTAGTGTCTAGAGGTTTGACCTCCCACTAGCTTTGGGGACTGGATGAAGGCAAGAAGGGGCAGGTGTCAGATTCATTAAATTTTTCCTGAATCCAGCATGGGTGGGGTCCTGGGTTGGGAATGCCTACCCTGGCCCCTTGGGCGATGTATCAGAACTATCTCCATCCTCACTCCTTTGTGGCTCTGGGAACTTTCCGAGACATCCCTTCCCAAACTAAACACAGTCTCTTCTGCAATTGCTGTGGCTTGGCATCCTTCCCACTCTGCTGTGTCGGCACAGAGCAGATTGCCATGCTTATTTATTCATCTTTGTTTATTGTCTTGGAATCTGGACCATGGTGGGTCCCTCTGAAATTCTAGTCATTTCACTGTGTGTGTGTGTGTGTGTGTGTGTGTGTGTGTGTGTGTGTGTGTAAGGGATGGGGAAGAGGCAGGGACTGGGTTCTGGCATGGTCTCTGCCCTGCCATTGGTCTTTCTTCCCAGGCACACGCCCTCTTCTCTCACTGCCTTATTAGCGGCTATCTGTTAGTCAAATCTGTCGTTATTTTCACACAGCCAGGTTCTGCATACCCCAGCTTTGCTCTCCCTTGGTCTGGTATGCCCACGATGTTCCATCTCAAGCTCTTTTTTCACCATCCCTGACTCAGCTTCTGGCTTCTGCAGACATATCCCTGGGACACATGCTGAGCCCCCTCTGCCTTCCACTGCACACAGACTCCAGTGGCCTAGTCAAACAATTCCCAGTTAGACTGCTAGAGGCTGGAAGCCAAACTGTACACCTCTCTCTCCTGGGACGCAGCCTTTTTGTCAGGCCCAGTGAACTGTCAATGGATGCTGGTTAGACTGGGCTGTAGCTTCATTCTTCATTCCCAGTCTCTTCTAGATTCTTCTCTGGTCCTCTGGCCTCCCTTTGGTATAGCATAACATTCTCCCTCCCCACCTGTGGAGTTTTCCTAGGGTTCCCTCAGGGACCCTGCCCTCCCTTGGTCCCCTCCGTGAAGCTAAGTCACCAGGCCTCAGTTCCCTGCGACCTTTCCCCCAGCTGTCTCCTCACCCTTCTTGGGTCCCCGTGGGTCCTCACTCTCCGGTGCCGGCTTGTCTGTCGGCCTGAGGCCCTCCCGGAGGCAGCTTTTGTTCCTTACTTCACAGCAGGGTGGGGCTTTCTGAGCCAATGAGCCAAGAGAGAGCACAGGGGTGGGTAGGCAGGCTGGGCGGAAGAACTTCCTTGGGCACAGTGGCAGAGCAAACACCTGTGGCTCATCTCTCCCGGCCCATACCTTGCTCCTCCAGCCTGTCTGGGTTGGTAGGTATGTGGGCGGGACTAAGTGATGGAGGCTGGAGGCTGGTGTCAAAATATCCAGGTGCAGGATAGCGCTAATGACACAGATCCCATTTCTGTCCCTTGCAGCTTATCATGTCTAGCCCTCTTCCTGTCCCCTGGTTCCAAACTTTCTCTTTTGCCCTGTCCTCAGGCAACTGGTTCTAAGATCCTTAGCAGTTGGTTTCTAAGGGAAGGGACACCCTTGATTCAGCCCAGGACTTGTGCTACACTGCCGGGGCTAGAGCTAGGGATTGGATCTTAGGCTCCTCTGTTTTGGAGCCCAGACAAGCCACGTGGATTTTCTAGACCAGGGCACCAATGCCCTGCTGGAGACAAGGAATGCAGGTTGATGACATGAAATGCTGCTGTTGGCTTGGGGCCAGGCACAGAGCCTTGCTGTGTGCCCTCTGTGGTCCTGGGGCTCTGTCTGTTGGAAATGGCTTGGGGGAAGCTGGAGTGTGTCCCAGCAGGGGCTACAGAGGAGTGTTGGGCTTGTGTCTGGCAGGGACAGAGAAGGTTAATGTACACCCAGGGAGGGGCTCCTTTGCCTCATTTCACACAAGCATTTATTGAGCACTTCCTAATAGCAATGATTCACACGTATGTGGCTGTTTCGGCTGGCTGGCCCTGGTACTGCCAGGAGCTCTCAGTGCTCACAGTGACCCCCACAGGCTATGCATTAATAACTCTCTCTGGAGCCTAAGTGGCCTGAGTTCTGATGCAGCCACACTGACTCCAGTCAGCTGCATGTGGCTGCTTTCCATCGCCACATACAACTCTCCATGTGCCAAACTCCTCCATCTCTGCAGACACCAAACATCTAGCTGGGGCAAAAGACTAGCATTGGAATGGTCCCCAGGGAAAGCTAGGGACCCCTTTTCTGGAGGAGAGGGTGACCACATGGATCCAGGGAGGGTCCCTGGAAGGCCGAGACCAAAGGGCTGTTTGTTTATTTATCTTTATTAAACTCTCACCCTGACCACACAGGAAGGCATTTGTTCATCTGTGCCCTCATGAAACTCCTCCTCCAAGAAGCCCTGTTAAGTGGTACTCCATGTGTTTATTTAACAGAAAAGGAAACTGAGGTACAGAATGGAGGGGTAATTCAGTGAAGGCCACTCAGCCCCGACAAGTAGCCTGGAGCTGAGGGGCAATTGGATGCCAAGCTGTGGGACTCAGCAATTCTCCCCAGCAGCTACATCCACAAGAGATGCTGAACCTTCCAGTTCATGCCCACCCTGCCAGTCCAGTCTAAGGACCCTTCACAGAATGGTTTTCTTCACGTGGGCTCGTGGGCGATCCGGTAAGAGTGGTGGGTGAGTGTCTGAGCCCAGAAAGATGAGGTCGCTTGAGAGGAAGTCCTTCTGTTTGCTGGAAGACTTGAGGTCATTCTCTGGGTGTTCAGCGAGTGCTCTCCTCCGTGGCATGCACTCAGAAAACCGCTTCATCACCAGGTAGATCAGCTCTACAAGGTTGAGCAGGATGCAGATGACGGCTGTGACCAACATGAAGATGATGAAGATGTTCTTCTCCGAGGGCTTGGCGATGAAGCAGTCCACTGTGTTGGGACACGGTGTCTCGTGGCACTTGACCATGTAAGGGAGGGTAAACCTGGGGTAGAACGCGTGGTATAGGTAGAGGAAGATAATATCTATGGTGGCCTTGAACAACAGACTGCAGACATACGTCCACCAGAGCCCACCCCGCTTCTTGCCAGGGTTCTGGTAAAGGTGCCCACTGCCAACTTCTTCCTGGTACCTCTTCTCTCGAGCCTTGCGATAGGCCACGTGCATGACCACGAGCAGGGAGGGGCACGTGACCAGGATGAGCTGCAGGGCCCAGAGGCGCACGTGGGACACGGGGAAGAACTGGTCATAGCAGACGTTGGTACAGCCGGGCTGCCTCGTGTTGCAGTCGAAATCCTTCTGGTCATCACCCCACACACGCTCGGCCGTCACCAGGTACACCAGCACTCGGAAGATGAAGACCAGAGACAGCCAGATGCGACCAAAGGCTGTGGAGTACTTGTTGACCCCGCTCAGCAGCCCCTCGAAGACACTCCAGTTCATGGTGGACTCAAGGGCTGGCTGCTCCTGCAGGAAGAATGGGAGTGTAGTTTCCCACGTTATGGGATGCTCAGTCTGAGCACTTCACAGAAATGTGTCATCACAGGGCAAGGCACTATTATGCCCCCATTTTACAGCTGAGGGAAACTGAGGGTTCGAGGCGTTTATGAAGTTATAGGACTATTAAGTGCAGAGCTGGCACGGAGGCACCGGTGATTAAGTCGGAGCAAGCCTGCTCATAAAAGCGGGTGGGCGCTGCTGCCAGGAAACAGTCATTCCCAAGTCCCCGAGCCTTGGGCTAGTCCCTCTCAGACCTCCCCGCTCCGGGGAGCCTGCTTTCTGTCCTTTGCTGGTAACGTCCAGGCAATTAGATGCCACTTACCCGAAGGCAAGGCGGGACACCAGTAGTTAGGCCTACTTAGATTAAAGCAGGGAGCCACAGTGCTCTTTATGCTAGAGGCTCTCCAGAATAAGCAGGTGGGCCAGTGCTTCCCAGACTATTGTTTTCCCAGAACCCTGGTCCACAGGCAGGCACGAGGAAGAAATAATTCCGAGATAGAGAATAATTGTGCGCCAAGACAACTTGGCAAGTGGCCGGGTTCAGCAAAATTAAGTAGCCCCCATCCCCTTTACTCATCTACGCTAGTAAATGAATTCACTTTGTGACTCCCTCGGAGCAGGATGAAGTAGGCAGCGTTGCCACAGCTCCTCTGACCACAGGGCCCCCTTTCATCTGGACACAGCTTTGATCATCTTGTTGGACTGCTTTGCCAAACACCAGCATGGAAAATGCTGTCCTGGGGAACAAGGTTGTGCGTGACCCCCGAGAGAAAAACTCATTTTCATTTGAGCAGAAGGGTCCCTACTTCTCCATTAGGGAGCCCCCTTTGCCTGATTCCTGGGGGAACGATGGGGTCCACTGTTGCCAAAACACCGTGCACCCTCATGTGGTCCCCTAGGCTTCGTACTCTAAGAAGTCATGAGTAAAGTTCGGAGCCCCACACTTCCACGTGCTGGCCTGGGTGGAAAGTCACAATTGACCTGACCTCTTGAAGGTCACGGCAGCCAGCTTAGATGCAGTAAGAGGCATTTTGCAAAAACCGGTGTTATTCCCTTATAGCAAGGGGGATGGTATTTTTCTCACCTCGTGGAGGTCAGAGACTTAGGAAGTTGGGACTCAGAGTCAGGACTCAGACCTAGGCAGGCTGGCTCCAGAGTCCACTCTGCAAATGGTTCAGTTCTGAGTTGGGGGCCCTTTCCTCAAGTTTTAGTGAACTGCTTCTTCTCCAGTGCGTCTCCCTTCTCTACCAGGTGGATCCTGGATGACAGCGCTTGTGGGCACCTCTACTCCCCACCCCATCTGTCTATACCACTCACCACTTGGCCACGTGGTGCCCTCGCTTTGAGTCACTGGTTTCTCTGCACGGTCCTATCTCAGGTGGGTGGAGCTGGCAGCGTCTTAGGAACACCCAGGGAGGCCTAGCCCTAACCCCAGAGCTCTGCAGGCTCAGGCGTTGCTGCTCAGTCTGCATCAGAGCGCTGCCCTGCTCAGCAGCCCCTTTCCCTGCTCAGCTCCAGGTCCCGGTTCTGTCACCTCTTCCGGTTGGGAAAAGGAGGAAGAGCTTAGAGCAGAGGGCTTGCCTTCACCATCAGGACCCAGGATGGCCCGCGTGGGCGTACACACACACACACACACACACACACACACAACCTCCCTTGAGCCTCCTCCAGAGAACTCTGTTAGGTGTGCCTTTCCCTGCGAGGTGTGCCGAGTCCTGGGCACGTCTAAGTAGAGAGGCCTTTACCTGAGCAGCGACTCCTCAGGGCTCCGAGTACCGCTCCTGGAAGGCAGCAGTTGGGGTTCAGCAAGCATCAGAATTCATGTCAGAATCAGGGAAGGGTTTCTGAGAAAGCTCATACTTGGGACAGAGGCTGTTGAGCAGCCCAGGCGTGTCCTGTTGGCCAGGAGGGGTGTGTGTGTGTGGGGGAGGAGCTGTGGGCTGCTTAGCCATTGGCTGGGTCGGGCCTGACAAAGACTGCCTCCGGTGAAGCTGGAGAGAGGGGTTTCCTCCTCCCAGAACAGGAAAGCCCGCATCTTCTCAGGAGAGATCCCCTGCTCTTTCATCTTTTCATCCCCAACCTTGTATGGAGGGCAGAGGCCAGCCTTGCCCTCTTTAAATTCTTCCTCTGGAGTTCTCCAGGGCCAACTGTTTAGAAGGGGGCTTCTAAGGGTTGATGTCTGCATCTGGTTCTCTCTCTTCCTCCCTCCTCTTTCCCCACTCTTCCCTCCTCCTCCTCCTCCTCTCTCTGCCCCTCTCTTGCAGCTGAAGCCCACACCCCTCCATGCCTGTCCTCTATTCCTGTGTCTGGACCGCACATCCTTGATTCGACTCTCACCCTCTCCGGTTCCTCGGCTTGCTTTTGTATGATGGGGTCTACAGATAGAGCCCAGGTTGGCCTCCAACTCTGGATCCTCCTCGCTCAGCCTCTTGAGTGCTGAGAATCTCAAGCCTGGAGACTAATGAATGCTGAATGCACACCCAGCTCCGTGGTAGCTCACACCTGGCGGAAGCATATACACAGCCTTCTCGTGTTCTGGAGAACTAGATGGCCTCTCAACACCAGGCTCTGTAGGCACCAAAATTTCTCAGGGGCATTGTAGGCACCAAAATTTACCAAAAAAAAAAAAAAAAAAAAAAAAAAATCAGGAGGGTGAAGCATGGGTGCAGCTCAGTAGAATGCTAACCCAGCAAACGGAGGGAAGCCCTGGGTTAGATTCCCCACCAAGGCATAAAACGGGTGTGGTGGTGCATGCCTGTAATTCCAACACTTGGGAGTTGGAGACAGGAGGATGAGGAGTTCAAGGTCATCTTCTCTATGTAACAGGTCTGAGGCCAGCCTCGGCTAGATGAGACTGTCATAAAATCAGACAGTATAACACACGAGACAGACACGTGCCAGGTTTATAGGATGAGAGCTGCAAGGTGCCGGGCTTGGCTCCCTTGATTCCAGCCTCGGAGGCACTTTCGCCAGTCCTTGTGTGAACGGCCACCGTGGTGCCTGAGTCTAGGTTTCTGTGTTACACATACATACACATAATGAGCAAGCGAATTCTGTGAAATCCTGTGTGTGAGCCCCTCCCCCCACCCCCGATGGAGAGGAAAGACCCTCTGTGATGGTTCCTGTGCTGGTGCCTTTGGGACACAGTAAGCAACTGTGGTACTTTTGGTGGGTTCTGTTTTGGTGACCCTGCTGGTGGTAAGGCCACTGAGGCGAGGGGGCTGTAGGAGTTTCTTGGGGAACAAGTGGGAAAGGAGGTAGAAGGTTCCCTGCAGAGGGCTCTGGTGCTGGGGGCAGTTCAGCAGGAGGCTACCTGTCCAATGAGACAGCAGGAGACACTGTATCACAGGGCCAGCCAGGCAGAGGTGTGAGAAGCACCCGCATTCTAGGGAGCAGGAAAAGAAAGAGGCACGCGTGAAGAGGAAACCGGATAGAGAATCAGGGCGTGGAGAGAAGGCTAGGAAGGGGAATGCAAGAAAGGGGGAGCCACAGAGTGCTCCTGGGACTTGCACCAGAACGATTTCAGATTTTAGTCGTGGGGTGTGGGGTGGGGACAGAAACTGGAGGGTGTGGGTGAAGAAAGTGATGTTGGTTCCTTTTCTTGATGCTTGCAAGGGAATGAGAAAGGCAAAGCTCCAGGTGGAGGGACGAGGCCAAAGGGAGCCTGGGGTTTGCTCCTTCAGGAGAGGCAGAGAGCTGCAGCTGAGAGGAGGAGTCCAGAGGGAGGGTCCTGACTTGCGGCTGGTCTTGCTTCACCCCCACCCCCCATCATCTCCTTCCCCACCGGCTCTTTCTGGATCTAATTATCTGGCTTCACCACCTTCCACACGTACTCCTGGCTCAGGCGGCCCAGGTTTTCCTGCTGGATCACCCCTTCTGGCCTCCTGTCTGCAGCTGGTATCAGCAAGCAGAGTAGATGGGAGGTGAATGGCCTTCGGGAGATGTTTGATACCTGAGGCTCTTCTGATAAGCAAAGGGGAATGCATGGGTGCTCTGGCCAATTCTCCACTGCTGACCCCGATAACCCCTGCTCCTAAGCACGGCAGCTGCCGCTCAGTGTGTCTGCCTCATCCACTCAGGATGGGAGCAAAGGTTGGATATTCATGAGGAATGATAATACCAGCTCGATTGTCGGGTGCCTGTCAGAGCATGTCAAATGTCCTACATGTATCATACGTTTAGCAACCTCTCTCTCTCTCTCTCTCTCTCTCTCTGGGCCCTTTTCTAATACAGCAGTCCTAGGAAAATGCATTTTAAAAAGGTGTTGAAGGCTTTCGGTGGCTTCTTAATGCTCCTGAGGTAAAAGCTCATCCTGCCAATGTGGCCCATAGCACCTACACAACCTGGCTTCTGAGGCTTTCACACTCAGCCTCTTCCTTTCAATTTTCACGTCCCAGCACCCTGCCCTTTGTTCATTTGCTCTTCCATCAGACCATCAGACTCTCTTCCCTACCTCAGAGCCCCAGGGCCTTTGCATATGTTTTCCAGTTTGCTTATTTATTTTTTCCTCCCCTCCCCATTCCTTTTCCTTCTCTTCTTCCTTTTCCTTCTCTCTCTCTCTCTCTAAAAGAGACTGGGTCTCACTATCTAGCTTTTGTTAGCCTGGAACTGACTCTGTAAAACAGGCTGGCCTCAAATTCCCTGAAATCCACCTGCCTCTACCTCCCAAGTGTTGGGGTTAAAGGCATGTACCAGCATGTCCAGTCTTTAACACCCCCTCCCTGCCCCCAGCCCCAGCGATGCCAATTCAACCTTGAGAGTTCAATTTAAGCCAGGGAAACCTTTTCTGAGGACCAGATTGGGTCTGGTTCTGTTATGTATTGCCTGGGAACAGAGGCCAGTCACGTTTGCTCTTATAGTGTCATAGGCATGCTTGGGCACTTACTGTCTTCCCTCTCCCTTTAGACTTACATCTTAAGGAGCTGGAATCACACTGTTCCATCATCAGGCATAGTAGATGCCAGTGAATGCTGGACGGTCAAGGATGAGTAGTTCTGGTCCTCAGGAGGCACCTGAGAAGCGTGAGGAGCTGAAGCCTTAGCTACGCAGAGGAGATATTCTGGAGCCTAGCTGCCTGAATTCTCCCTGTGGCAAATCCCTTTTTTGTGTTTTAAAAAATTATTTATTTTGGGCACAACAATCCTACCCCTAACCATGGAGGTACTGACAATTGTTAGCTGCTGGGAGAGGGAGAGACCTCATTCTCTAATAGTGAAGCCTCTAGTAGGTCAACCTCGCCTCAGGTGAAGACCCAAGAATATTTTGGGCAACATCAAGTGGTTTTGAAAGAAAGAATAAAAAGGATACAAAGTAAGGTTGGTAAGGAGTGGGGATGGATATGATCAAAACACATGTTAAATACTCAACTAATAAAAATAAAATAATAATTTTAAAATAAAATGATGATGACGACGTACGTGTGTGTGTGTGTGTGTGTGTGTGTGTGTGTGTGTGTGTGTCAGAGGACAACTTTGTAGAGTTGGTTCTCTCCTTCCACCTATGTAGGTTCCTGGAACTGAGCCCTCAGGCTTTGGGACAAGGATGTTTGTCTGCCGACCTACCTCATCAGCTCATCCTTGCAAATGTCTTAGCTTTCCTGAGGCTCTGTTCCTTCACCTAGAATAAGGGGGGGGGGAGGATTATAGTTCTTATTCAACAGGCTTAGTGTGAGATGGAACGGATGGAAAGAGGCGAAGTGGGTCCCTGGAGCGTGCATGTCTATCAGTGGGCACTGCTGTCATTTTCAGAGACAGGGGACAAGTCTGGGAGGGGGGCTGGGTGGGTGCTGCTTCCCATCTTCCTTTCTTAGCCATGGGGTGGCCTGTGTCAGGTCTGTGGGGTTCAAGGAGGAGAGGGCCTGAGCAGATGAAGCCCAGCCCTCCAGCATTGGGGTTGGGGGAGCATGGGATGCCATAGATTCATACGCAGCCGCGTTCCTGCCCTGCAGCTGAGCCAGGGAGCCAGGGAAAACCAGGGCCAGTCCCCGCACAGCCTTGTCCACAGCAGAGCTGCTCCCATGCCGCCCTCGCCCCGGCATCCTGAGACTGGCTGCTCACAGAGGTCACGTTTCAGAACTCAAGGCAATTTGGCTTCACCTGACCACTTAAGGAGCAGAGCCACTTCACCTGAGATTTCCATGAGGGGAGGGTGGGGGGCAGGCCTGCTGTCTCACAGTAGGGCAGGGGTTGCAGCTGTGTAAAGTTCAGGAAGGAAGCAGGCAGGAAGCTGTGAAGAGAAGGGGCGTTGTGGAAAAGAGAGACAGACAGGGTCTCGTAGAGTGGGGTCTCTGGGGTGCAGTGGAGGCAGGAAGGGGGTGTTGGATGATTCTGGGCAGGGCTTCCATGGAAGACCCCTTGTCATCCTTTAACTTTCTGCTCTGGGGCCAGCGCTCTTGCTTGTGCTTGGGACATTCTTGATTCCCCACCAGGATGCTGGGACTTCATATGGGAACAGATGGCTCCCTCCTAGGACTAACTGGATCTACCCCACAAAAACAGAGGCCTGACTCTGCTTTGAGGAAAGCCTGTGGGGATGGAACCTGGGCTGTGGCCCTGGCTCTCTTCTAGAAGCTTCTGGGCTCCTCAGCTTTGGACATCAGCCACTGCATGATTGGTGCCTCTTGCTCCCAGCCACGGTGTCATCCCATAGCTTGCTGGAAATAATCGGATCTTAAGCTTTAAAGGTTTTAACATTTTTTGAGACAGTGTGTCACGTAGCCCAGGCTAGCCTCAAACTCACACTGTAGCTGAGGCTGGCTTTGAGCCTCCTGTTCCCACCTCCTGAGTACTAGGTTTTGAGAAGTGAACCCTACCCCTAGCTCAGGTCTGAGTGGTTAATCTTGCTCCACCAGAGGCTGGTGTCAGCCAAGCCTCCCTCATGTGTCTC